TTTAAAAAAAAATATATATATATATGTGTAATCTTTATTTTTTATTTTTTTATAAAATGTATATAAAAATAACTAAACTAAAAATAACAAAAGAAAATAGGCTTTATTTCTTTGTGAAAAACTTTTTTTTCTTTCTTTCTTTTAATTTTAGGATGAAATATGCCCTGGGCTTGTTTGTCGAGGTTCTCTCTCTTTATTTCTCAGACATTAATATAATACGGAGTGGTGATGCAGTGTTTACGGTGGATTCTTCTCTCAGACGGTGTCTGTGGTTTGTATTCGAGTCAGACGGTGAATCTGAACAGATACGCCTCGAGGGAACATCGGCGTCATTATGAGCGCTAAACTAAAGCAGTTGCTCGTTCGGTTCTTCTGCTGGACCGCGTGTGAAGGAAGATGTTTGCTGTGATTTGTTCACGCCGGATCCGCTGAAGCAAAGCAGCTCTCACCTCTGTCTGTGTGTAGCACACGACTGTATTAGTTTATAAACTCTTCTGCTTACTGTGAAGCATGCTGTGCTTCGGTTTCTTTCTTTCTCACGTTTGTGTGTGTTTGTCTCGATGTAAACTATAGCGTTCAAAATCAAGATGTTTTTCAGAAGCAATGCATTTGTGTGGCTTGCAATTTAGTTTTTATTTCTTTTTAGGAAATAAAGTAAGATTCAGAAATGTTTGCTGTTTGTGAGATTTTTTTTTTTTCACCTGATTTAACATTAAAGGAAGAGTTCAGCCAAACATGAAAATCTCCTCACCATCAGTCCATCCCAGATCAGGATGAGTTTGTTTCTTCATCAGGTTTGGAGAAATGTAGCACTGCATCAGTGTCTCAGCAATGGATGCTCTGCAGTGAATGGGTGCCGTCAGAATGAGAGTCCAAACAGCTGATAAAAACATCACAATATTCCACAAGTAATCCACAGCACTCCAGTCCATCAGTTAACATCTGGAGAAGACAAAAGCTGAAACACATCCAACATTAAGACCTTTTTAACTAAAATACCATAAGAGTCCATAATCCATAATAACTCTTCCTCCAGTGAAAAAGTGCATCTGCTGTTGTCTCTCACATCAAAATCCAGCCACATATGTGTTTAGAGCTGTTTAAACGCTGCTTGATCTGTGCAGATCTCTCTCCTGATTCACACCAGAACACTTTTTCACTGGAGGAAGCGTTATTATGGATTATAGACTCGTATTTGAGTTAAAAACGTCTTAATGCTGGATTAGTTTCAGCTTTTGTCTTCTCCAGATGTTAACTGATGGACTGGAGTGCTGTGGATTATTGTGATGTTTTTATCAGCTCTCGTTCTGACGGCACCCATTCACTGCAGAGCCTGAAAACATGCAACAACAATATTTCCATGTATTCATCCAGCAGATGCTTTTATTCAGACTGACTTCCAAAAGAGGAACAAAAGCAATTAGTCACTGATAGTCGTGCAAGCGTTAGTTGGTCTGGTCTGGTCTGGTCTGGTCTGGTCTAGCCGGCGGTGAGTCATGTGACGCTGCTGGTGTTTAGCACAGGTGTGTTTGTCAGCCGTTGGCTTGATCTCGGCTCTTTCTCTCGGTGTTTGCTGGTAAAGCAGGATCTGAAACACAAAACATCACCACATACAAAACAACTGTGCCACTTCAAATTACTGCTCTTATCATCTCTTTAATATACTGTTACAGGTTTTTGGTCATATTTTGAACTGGTTCAAGTTCTTAAAATTAAAAAAATAATAATTAAATTTAAAAAATATGTATGTTTTCTGTTTTCACTTTAAATTTAAAGTTTTAGTAGTTTGTTGTGTTTTTGCTGGTTTTTATATATATTTTTAAATGTTCATATATTATTTAATTTTTATTTATTATTATATAATTTAATAATTATAATTATTTAATTAGTTGTTATTATTATAATTATTTAGTACTTCAACTTAAATGAAAACGAGGAATGTTGCATTGGAAGCTAAAAACATATTTTATTTCAAGCAACCGAAATGTTTTTTCATGGTTTTAGTTTTAGTTCACAATAGTAACAGTGCTTTAAAACAGAAAAACCTTCAGTTGTGGATGAACGTGGCTTTACTCCAGACTGAAACCGATTCAAAATCACAAACGGTAAGAGAAAGGATGGTTTTAAATCTTCTTAACATGGTTGGTTAAATTAAATGTTATATGAGTGTTTTTATTTAACATTTATTTCATATTAGTTTCTAACGGTGTGATGTGTTTCTGCTTTTGGAATAATTAATGGAGAAACCGAGGAGGATTGCAGATGAAATGAAGCAAATGTTGGGTTGTGAGTTTTGAACAACTATACTACATTATATACTCAAACATATGTTAAACGAGTTTTCTTGCAGTAACTTGGACGGATGTGATCTGAAAACTGACTTGACTGTTTGCAGTAGTTTGTCTTTTCAACATGTTTGTCTTAAATGAAACTGATTAACAATTTTGATTATGATGCCTTTGTTTGAATGACATTTGTTGGATGCACTTCTGAGGTCGGACAGATTGAAATCATTATTTCTCTGAGCGTTTAATGAGCATCATCTCTTGATTTAAGAATCTTTCGATGTTTGTGATAAACGCTGATGTTTCATTGCTCTGCTCTCCTCTGACCCTCCACTAATCAGCAGATATTTATTCTTCAGCGATCAATAACACTAACATCGCGTCTGATATTAGTGTCGATGAGCCTTTGACCTTTTCATCAGCCTGTGATTGGCTGCTTAGCTGTTGCTACGGGTTACGCACCTGATCAACACACATGAGATTGATGTTATTTCTGTGTCACTCTGTTAATGTGGCTCATCATGAGCAGGCCTATTATAGTCCATTAAAACTAAAACATATATATATATACAATTTCAGCTAGTTACCAGCTTGATGTATTAAAATAACAAAAACTGAAATAAATAATTAATAAAACATAAATATAGACGTATATATAAAAACATAAACTACTAAAAATGGGGGAAAAAACAGTTAATAAAAATGGTAAATATAAAAATAAAATCTAATTCAAAATATTAATGAAAAAACATGACCTGTGAAATACATTTAACGTTTCTCTCAGATGCTCAAAGTGAATACTGAGTGAAAGTGCATGTACAGAACAAAGTGCATGAATATTTTCTTACTTGAACTCTTTTTATTGATGCCACAAAAGAGGAAGAAAGACCATAAATTAACATTTTCAATTGTGAGAAAAAGTCAGAATTGAGAGATAACAGTTTTTTAGTCTTTTGAGGAAACGCTTCCATTCTAATCAGTCTGTTGTGTTTAAATTATTCTGTCGTTTTATTCATTCATGAATTCTGGTGTTAATGAACAGGGAAGCTGCTGGGCTTCAGAGGAAGTGAACGCCGCTGGCGTCACCAAACAGGAAATGACCGTGTGTGTCTGTGAGCTCAGACAGGAAGCAGCGCAGGCCTCGCTCTTACCCAACGTCCTGTGAGCTGATAGAGAAGAGGAAGTGGGGGGGAAAGAGGAAGCAGCGTCCATGCCGCATCACATCCTGTCTATCTGACTGCCTGTCAGCGTCACGTGAGGAGTTTTCTCTCTCTCACACACACACACATACACTCTCTCTCTCTCTCACACACTCACTCACACACACAC